TTAAACATATCTGCAGAGTCACTTTCTCTTCAGCCATCCCCTGTACAGACTTACGTGGAGGGGAGGGATGGCAGGAGCACAGGAGTGGGAGTCTGGCACCTGGCTCTATTACTTATTGTGTAGCTGTGGGCCAGACGCTTAGCTCCTCCAGGCCACAATTGCTGAGTCAGTAAAATAAAGGTGCCTGTCTTTACAATCTGTCACTATTATTCACGGTAATTCTCTGGTTGCACTAAGCTGTGTGTTTCCTAGTCCCTCAACTCTTGGCAAACATATATATGTTTATATGTTTATATATGTGTGTATATATATGTTTATATATGTGTATATATATGTGTGTGTGTATATATATAGTCTTACAGAGCATGCAATTCCCCTTGAACACCAGCACTTCATCCCATGTGCCCCGTCCTTGCAGTGGGTTAAGGGCTGAGAGCCAGGGAAGGAACAACTGCTCTTTCAGAGGTCAGCGCAAAGAGAGGAGAAGCCAGAGGACTCAGACACCAGGAATTCTATTTACATTTACAGCAGCAGAGGCCACGTAGAAATATTAATAGCTTTGGGCTTCAGTTCCCAAATTACAAAACAAAACAAAACAAAAATGTCATTTGGTTGGAACAGAAATTTCAACTCAGATTTTTCTGAAACTCTTTATTTATATATACTTCTTTATTAGTTAAAAAAAATATTCTGGAATTTTTGTTCTTTTCTTTTTCCTGGGAGGTGGAAAGAAAACAACCTTTTTATATTTATATTAATATGAAAAATCACTGGAAAAGTCATGAAATTTCCTCATGATGACTGTATATGGCTAACAGTAAAAATACCAAGTGTACACATATTTGTAGCATGAATCATCTCTTAAAATGCCCCATGGCTTTTCCTTTAAATAATGAAAAGTAATTAGCATTCAGCATCACTAGGTTGCTAGCAGCTGTTGCAACCTGATCATTATTTCTGTTAGATCTTTGGGATGTAGTATCTTTGCTCTACAATTCAGACTACATGCTGTCTTTAGCTAACTCAACACCTGAATGAAAAACTTCTCATGAGCCCTCTTCCTAATTATAAAAATTAAAGATATCCTCTCTGTATTAGGAGCTTTAGAATAACCATATTTTTAATAAGTGCCCCTATAGATTTTGAATTCACAATATATTTCAAATTTGGCTTATTTTTCTCAATGCAGGGTATGTCTGATCTGAAGTCAGGATGAACCCATAGTACAGTTACTAATGTGGCCTTGGATAATTCTGCCTGGCTGGCAGTTTCGGGACTGGTTGAATCCTGACTCTATTTTCAGAGGAAACTGGGCTTTGTCCCCTTGGCAAAAAGGGGTCACTGGCAAGGTGCTTGGGCCAGAGGAGGGGCCAAGGTGTTGATGGCAACTGTGGTGGGCAGCACAGCTGCCAGGAGTCTTGGTGATGGGAGGAAGAGTAATTCTTAGCCAGTGATATTCTTTGGACATCTTACTCAATATTGGGGGACTCTAATCTATAATGAGCACTCAGGAATATAAGGCTTTGGGAAGCGCCTACTATCAACCTCCTTCCCATGAAGTCAGCCTTTGTAGATGGAAGGAATGGTGAGTGACTTGGGGTGGAGTGTGAGTGGGGTGGGGTAGGGAGTAGCACCTCTAGTGGCAGAAACCACAGATGTTCATCCTAACTTTGAGGAAGATGGTTGTCATTCACTCAGGTTTGAGATGTGCAGGTTTGGGGGCAGAGCTGAATTTCTCATGGTCATAGAGGAGACAAAGGTGAACTGTACCCAGAGGCAGAGGATCAATATGGGACAGGCCAGGCCACGGGTGGCTTTGGTCCACAGCTCAAGTAATTGCTCTGTTTGACAAGGGGGCAGATCTTTATTCTTGCTGGATACACAATCAGCTCAGTTGTGGAGGTAGGAGATGTGGGAGAAATTATATGGATTCTAGTCTAGAATAGCTTCCATTATCTCCCTCACTTTTTCTTGGCTGAGTATGAAATAGAAGATGCTTTGTGTTTTAGGCTTTCGTTAACATGTGTACTAAGCACCACTATGGAACTAGCTTAGAGGGCAGTGTGAGCAAGTGTCACCTGGCCAGGACCACCTTCTGCTTCCAAGTTCCAGTGCCTGGCAGCACTCAGCCTCTCTCTCACCTCAGGAGTTCAGTCTGTGCTATGTTGGCCACTTCCACACAACATACACTGTGGTTAGAAAAACTACAGGTGACTGGCCTCATATCATGGAGAACATCTTTCAAATTCTTTATGAGGTTCCAGGGTTGAAAAGCCACAGAAGGCTTTCATGGGAAGCACCTTAGGCACTGGACCTTGGCCCAGCCATGTAATGAGAAGGTCAGCGTGACTGGGAGGGAGTGAACAAGGGGCAATGGAAAGACATGAGGCCAGAGGTGTAATGGGGAGGCCAGGCCCTGGAGGGCCTGTGAGTCATGGTATGGACTGTGGTTTTTATTCTGAATGAGATGGGGTCTGTTGGAGGATTTGGGCTGAGGTTTGACATGAATGGACTTGTGTTTGTAAAGAATCATCTTAGCAGATGTGAGAGAGTAAAGGAAGGGGCAAAGCTGGAAGCAAAGATGCCAGATAGGAGGCTTTTGCAATGGCTCAAGCAAAAGATGATGGTGGCCTGAGCCCGGGTGGTGGTGGAGGAGATAATGAGAAGCAGATAGGTTGTGGAGACAGATATTTTAAAGGTAGAGCAGACAGGATTTGTGGAGGAATTGGCAAAGAATGTGAGGGAAATAGAGGAGGCAAGAAAAACACCAAGGGTTTCTGTCTGGTCACCTAGATGACTGGAAGGATCAGGCTTGAGGGGGAGTTCATAAAGTCAGTTTCAGACATGCTAACTATCAAACTGAGATTCAGGAAGCCATGGGTTCTAGTTTCAGTCTGGGCTCTGTTGCTCCAACTTTTTGGGTACAAGTATCCTCAACAACTGATGTGAAATGCACCTTGCATTGTGCACATTCTATGACCTATGAAGCAACATTGGGAGCTGACTGAAAAGCTTTAACATTTGTCTGCATTTACTACTAGCTATAACTGGATGTGGGACAGCTGAGTAACAGAACAGAAATTGTTCACAGTGGTCGAGCAGGGTCAGGACGGGATGTGGGCGTCACCAAAGAGCATAGACTATCCCTACCCCAACTTCCTCCTTCCAAGCTAACCTCAGCTTCTGAGCTCCTAGAGTCATGTCAGTGGAGGGATTCTGTCTTGACTGATGTGTTCCCTTAGGTTTAAATCTAAGTGAGAGGTGCCTAAAATGAGACCAATATGTGCTTACCTTTACCACACTGATTTAAATCAGAGAACTGGTCATCCATGTGTATTTGAGTAGCTGCTGGGTGCAAGGCCTTGTGACCACCTCTGAATTTGATTAGTGTCTGACTTCTTTCAAAAACATTGCAAAATTGCAATTGTCCTTATTTTAAAGACCTTTGAAGGTTGCAACTAAATCATTCTTTGCTAAAGAAACATACTTTTTGAAAGCCTCTCAAAATGCAGTTGAGTGAATACTTGTAGCATTTGATGACGTTGAAGTGATACTTTTAAGTTAAATAGTTCTTTAGAAATCTGATGATGGTATTTTGGATACTGGCTGTATTCAATATTTGAAGCAAAAATCCAGGTGTTTTTTTTTTCCCCCCTCTGAACAGACCTGTGGCAAATACACCTTCAGTTTCTGCCATAATATCACTTATCCAGTGACTGTGACTTCGATTTCAAAGGGTTCCGCTGAATCTCACTATAGAACTGTAGGGTAATATTGGTGCTTTGCCCAGAATCCTCCTGTTCTCACCCTTTTGGTTTTGGCACCTTCCTGTCCAACAACACTTGCACCAGCCACCCTCAGGTTCCTTGAGTCTGCCTTGCCTGCAGGCACAGAGAGCCAGTGGGAGTGTCTGGGAATGTTCCATCAGTCCCTCCTGCAGCTCTTAGCTAATGGCAACAGCTTCAGTAGTATAGAAAAGCCCAGTGCTGTTGCCTCAGTATAGGACAACTCTGAGTGGTAACTTACATTCCAGAGCCCCACTGATTGGGTTAAGAGGAGATTTTGCCTGATGTCATACCCTTGCTTGGATTTCTCCTCTTCCCTTTCCTGTTTCTGCCACTCTCTTACTGGTCTCTCCTGAGGGCATGTTTTCAATCATGAATTTGCACACACTAATCTTCATCTCAGGGTCTGCTTCTGGGGAAACTAATTTTTAAAAAAACTTTATCCCTGTGTTTCCCAAACTGAGCACCGAAGTGCCCCAGGGCTACAGAGAACTCCCAGGGGGCACTGTGAGCTATTTTCAATTTTCTAAAAAACAAAACCCTAAACACCCTTAGTGCTCCTCAACATCCATCAGATACAGCAGGAACAACTGAAGGCAGTTTGTGATTTCAATGTTAGGTCATAGGTCATCCTGCCTTCCTTTAGCTGATGGCATATCTTTCAGAAGCTGAGTTTTCAGTGGTTGCTATGATAAAAAAACAAGTACTCTATTAAAGTCAGGGGAAGAGAAAACAAGGATGGTGAAGTCCAAACTGATTCCCAGGCTTGAGAAGTTGTTTTGTGTCCACTAGTGCACACACTTACATTAATAAATAAGTGTGGCTATGAAAATAACCTTTTGATATAATATATTATTTTTTTCAAATGGATACCAATTTGTTATGGCATAAATTCTTACCAAGTTGGGCCTACCTAAATTTTGGAACATTTTGCTCTTTCTTTTGATCTTAGGGTACTATGAAATGTTACTGAGTGAGTAAGAGTGGTGGCATAAACCAAATAAGTTTGGGGGGCCTCTCCTCCACACTGATAAAGATGGTTTAAATGTGTTTTGAATTAAAATGGGTGAAGTGTTCAAGTACCAAATGACAGTCCCCAGTGCAAATAAACTAAGTGCTTTGTGTGTTCTTTATACTCCTCATAGCCTTGTATTTTTAGGAATTGTCACACTGGGGTTTTAAACGTGAACATGTTCTCTTGTTTTCTTATTTCAGAGAGTGGGTTAATCGAGCCCCATCTATTCATTTTCTGAGAGTGTTAATCTGTCTGAGGCTACTAATGAGGGATCCATGTTATCAGGTTGGTTGGAAAAATATATGTATATATATTTTACTTGTTATAAAGTCATAATAAAAGACTGGTGGGCTTTTTTTTGAAGTAGTCCATGTTTACTTTTTGTTTTCTCTCTCACAACTCAATAGCTTCCATATATGGGGAATGTCTCATCTACTATTTAAAAGGATTTGAGAGGAGCGCTTTAATGGGGACAAAAAATTTGTATATTTCTGTTGTATTACTTATGGGGTTAAGTGGATTGAACTTTTTGATCTATGTTTTCTTTGCTGCCTGGCATTTTAAAACATTTACCGTTCAAGGAGGTATACGCTTGGCCACAGCTTCAAACATGTTCAAGGCCAAGCAGCTCCCTAGGTCTAAGTCAGCAGTGATGAGTGGTGGCCTGCTCATGTGGCTGAGAAGCAGCCAGTGGAGCTTTATTAGCTGCTCCAGGGTCAATCCCTTCCCAACCTCTAGAGTCAAATTTGAGTTAGAGGTGAGCAAGGAGCCTCCCACTTTCCCCACAGGAGGGCACTGAGGTCAAGAATCTTTTCCTGGTTGGGCGTGATGGTTCACACATGAACCACCATGCCTGGCCTCTGATTTTAGTGCCTCTCAAACTTTAATGTGCATGGGAATCACCTGGACATCTTGTACATGCAGAATCTGATTCAGTAGGTATAAACAAGATTCTTCATTTCTAACAAGTTTCCCAGGGATGCTATTGCTACTAGTTCATGGCCCATACTTTGAGTAGCAAAGACATAGTGCTTTAGCTGTGAGGCTCTAAAGAAAAGCTTACTTAACACTTTTTTTTTTTTAACCAAAAAAGTATCTCCTTTTATGCCCTGTCCTCATAAGCTACTAGGAAGCTCACACCTTTGATTTTGAACTCGATGTTATTGATGAATTATTATTTGAGTCAGCATATGTTTCCTTTAAGTGCCAAGTTTGGAAAAGTAACCATCCTCTGTTTTACAGGGAAGCCCAATGCCATCCCGGTGGGAGCTATCTTATTTTCTCTTTGTTGTTTGAAATATTTGGGTTATCCTGTAACTCTACCTTCCTCATATTTCAGAAGTAACCATATTTTCCATACTCGGCATTTGAGAAAGTATTTTGGTACCAACCAGCCACAGAGCCTACTCTGATTGGACTCTTCTGGGATTCATGGGCACTACACATCTTTCCATTAGAAGAATAGTCCTCTTCCTCATACTGTGTTCTAAACTGGCCTTGTGCTATTGTAATTTAGTTAACCACAGCCCTTTGGATATGTGAGCCAGGGCATCCTTGAAATGGCTTTCTGTCCTTGTTGCTCACAGTTTTCTGGGTAGGTAACCATCCTTATTTTCCTGTGACCAACCATACAGAACTGTGTGTTCCACGCATTTCTGAGCTGCTTTTTGCAATTCTGTTTGGGTCATGTATAAATGAGCATGGGTCATACGTTTCCTTTCGCCTGGATCAGTCTTATGTGCTCACTGTTCCCACTTAATTATTCATAGCACCCTCTTTTATTCCCCAATGTGTCTCAGTTTAGATGAAAACATTCTATGTATAATATTAATAAAGTTTTCCAGGAGGAAGGTCCGGTTAATCTGACTTGAACTAGCAAATATTTGTCCTAGAGATGTTCTGTTTGTTCAGAAAAACTGTTGATAAGAGTGTCTTATTCTGCTAATCTCCCATCTAAAGTTCTGCCTTTCTTAGTCTCGTTCTGGGTAGATTGAACAGGGTTGATTGTACTGCCCTCTGAAGGAAAAAATTCAGAGACGACTTTGTTTATGAGATTTTGTGACCAAGACACATATTAAACGAATATTGTCCTGCTGGCCAGCCTTTCCATAGAAGGGAATTATCTCCGAGTCTGTCTTCCCTGGCACTCTTTCCGTACAGAAGACCACGTGCTCAGGCAGTTGTTCAGCATCTTGAGGTGCCAAGAATTGTTGGCTGAAGTCACAAAGCTATGCTGGGGTTTACTATGACTTGTGACTTACGCCAGTGACTGTCGGCATGACTTTTTCTTGGGTATCTGTTCCTTTCCTCTCTTGTTTGGTCAGTACTGCAGGGTCCATAGCGGCTCTTCCAAACCATCTTCACTTTTCTCACCCAAACCCTCTCCTACCCCATGATTCTCATCAAATTATGTCATCCTCTGTTTTACAGGGAAGCCCAAGGCCATCCCAGTGGGAACTATCTCATTTTCTCTTTGTTGTTTGAAATATTTGGGTTATCCTGCAACTCTACTTCCCTCATATTTCAGAAGTAATATTCCTCCTCCTGGCCAAGGCTTACTCTTCTACCTGCTCTCGCTCTGTTTTTCCTTACCATAAAAATGTCCTTCTCTTGACCCAGCTATTCCTTCAAGTCCTTCTCCTACTTTCATACTCTATTTCTTGAAAGGTCAGGCTATGTCTCTTGAATCCAGTTCCTTTCCACCAGGACTGATGTATTGCATAACTTGCACATTGAATTCTATGTACGAGGTTCTCTCTGGAAGCCATTTGAATAGACCACACTGGGCCATGCTGCAGTCCTCATTCCTTGACTTAGAGGTTGCAAACTGGTAGCTTGTAGATTGGATCTTTCCTGCCAGTACAGAGTTTCCACTATATGTTTAGTGAATGTTCCAACCAGGAAAGACTGGAAGGAATGACAGAGAAGCTATTTTGAAGATATAATTGTTTAGAGTTTTTCAGAATTAAAGGAAGACACGTATTGAGATTTCAGTTGCAGCTGGAGTCCCAGGCAGGATAAAGATAAGCGTTCACCTGGATTCATTATAGTGAAGCTATAGTACATCGCTTATCAAAGATAAAGAGAAAACCTTAAAAGATCCCGAACTGCAATTATGTTAGAAACAATAATAAAAAATAGTTGGATTGAGTAGTCTTCTCTCAGTGCTTACATTCCCCAACCTGTTTATAGCAGCAGGTACACTTTACCACGTTTTCTCTTTGCCTGTACTGATCCTGAGAACCTCTAGCTTTTATTCAGCATTTTTGGAGTATTATTTACACGTTCCTCTTCTTCACCTTGTCTTCCTAAATAACCTTCCCCAAAGTTTTTTTTCTTTATTGTCTTCTCCCATATCTTCCAAGCTCTTGGCTTCAACTATCTTTTTGTTGTTGTTGTTTGTTCACAAGTTCATATCTTCAGCCTCAAACTTTCCCCGTTAAGTCCCAAGTTTCCAGAGACATGTTAGACAACCACCTCGATGACACAGTAGCACAGTGGATCTCAAAATGTGGCCCGTGTACTGTTTACAGGTCTCTGAAACCCTTTCAGGGGTTCCACAAGATGGAATCTATCTTCAACATGATGCTAAATTATTCCAAATGATGTTATTTGTCTTTTCACTCTCTGTCTTACGTGTGTGCAGTGGAATTTTCCCTAAGCTACACAACATCTCGTGACATCATGGCCCTGGGAGCTGATGGAACATGTGTACTTGTATATTCTTGTGTTTTAAAAATTTCTCACTTTTAATTTCTAATGCAATAAATATAAACAGATACATTCTAACCCATATAAACCAAAGCTCTTTGAGGTTCTCAGTAATTTTTAACAGCGTAAAGGGGTTTGAGACAAAAACTTTGAGAACAACAATTGTAGCATATTATACTCAATAACTTTATAATGGAGCTCTTCAATTCTTCCCCCCATCCTTGAACTTTTGGAATCAATTCCTCATTCTTTTAATGGCACCATATTTTGTCAGACTCAGCATAGAAAACTTTAGAAGTATCTCTTATATTTCCTTTTTTCTCATCCTCCTACAAATCGAGTATACCAAGCCTTTTAGAAGAGTGTTTACGGTTCCAAACCTAGAAAGATAAGTAAAGGCCAGTCCACAGAGGGGCATTAAAATCATAACCAAAGAATAAACTTTATGGAGCCACTAATGAGTTTTGAACAGAGGAGTAAATGGTCATGTCAGTAATTCAGTATTTAAGGTTATGCAGTGTGTTCAGCATTCATTGATTTAGTTGCCACATAGGCTGAGGATGAGAGCACCTAAATGGAAATGACAGTTTTGGCTGTAATAAAAATATATTGGCATAATGTGCTCCATTTTTAAAAACATCCTTTCTACCAGTATTATATTATTGGCTCTATTTTTGTTTTTTAAAAAGGAACAATTCAGGAGGTAAGCTTAGCAAGGACATCGTTCGCAGTTTACAGATTGAACTGAAGTTCAGATTAACCAGGGGACTTTCTCCAGATCAGTAGACTGAGAAATACACAAACCAGTTTTATGACCCTCTGGCCTGTGACAGGGGAGAGATGCTGAGGGCTAAACAGGCACACAGGGCGCGTTGCTGTAATCGAAGCTTGCAGTCATATTTGCTTTTCAAGTCAGTAACTAGAACTGTTAAGCCCATGTGTATACATACCTTGTAGTCATGGTTTTCTTTAGTTTACACTCTTGGGTTAGTACAGTCCTGTTGGTATAAGGAAAGGAAATGCAAGGAAGACCAGGGTCTGTGAGCAATCTCCTGGCCTTGCTCCACTTTCCATAGGAGCATGGAGGGAAAGTGTTCACTTCATAAATGAAGGTTAAATTCTTGAGTACATAACATAACGACAAAATTCTCTAAGAGGGAGTAAGCGTCTTTCTCATTCCTCTACTTTACAGCAGCACTTCTCAAACTTTATTCCGCAGGAGTAATACGTGTCCTGGGAAATGAAGCGTGCTCTGGTTAGGGATGTTTAGAAAAAGCTGCACACTAGTTCTTCTTTTAGAGACTTATAGTGCACAGCAGCTCCAAAGAGTCCTGAGATAGAGAATTTGTTAAATGTTTTGCCTAATTATTTCCCAAACTGATTGAACCATAAAACTCTCTTTTTCTTGCTTTTTTCTCTTTTTCTTCTTCTTCTTTTTTTTTTTTTTTTTTTGGTAGAATGCCTAATTCCATCCACTGCACAAAATAAAATGACTGTTTCCAGCACATGGTTTGGGAAACATTGACTTAGTCCCATATCATCAAAATTATTGAATAAATTTCTTATCATGGCAAACATTTAAAAATAACATTACCATGACCATTTAAACATCATATTCTTCCTTGATGTCTTCCACTCCCAAGCTTCAAATGAATCTCCTTCATGTGAACAACTCCCAGATTTTGATCTTTTGCCCCCACTTCACTTTCTGTGGCCTGTTGTATTTTTTTTCACCTGGGCCTCCTATCAGTCCTGCAGCACGTCCAAAATAGAGTGCTCTCCTCTATCCCAGTCTATTCCTTTCTCTTTCCCTGTGTTAGTTACTTATGACGTTGTTCCCAGCCACTCCCACTCAAGTAGACTGATGTCTTCAACTTTGCTTCTTTTCTTCCAATCTTTCTTCATGTTCGATTGATCACATCGCTTCAAATACTACACCTTTCTCTCCATTCTTATTCCTGTTGTCACTGACCCCAACTGAGCTCCCAGTTTATAGCCTCCCCATCTCTAGTTCATTTTATGACTAGAAGGAAGGAAGTCCCCACAGCTAATTCTGGCCAGTCCCTTGCTCACACATTTTCACTGGGTATCATAGTCTGCCTGAAAACGTTCAGATTCAGGCACACATCTACGTCCTCCCACATTGGGAATCCACCCTAATTTTCTAACATTTTTTCCCAATAATGCCCTCCATGGAGATATGGAGCTGCTTCTCTCAGAGTTACAGCATGTCTTGATGTTTTGTCTGCACAATTTCTATTCACCTTTGAGCCTCCTGTTCTCTTTGCTGGAATCTCCTTTATTTTCACCTGTTTCCGATCTTTACTCAGCAAATCCATCGATCCTTCCAGTCCCCATTTGGAGACCACCAACCACCCACATGAGGTGTCTCAGTCCTCTCAGCAGGAAGGAGGTGTCTCTATTCTGACCCCTTATAACACTGCGTGTATAATTTACTTTTAACACTTACCTCATTCTGTCTTAAGTTCCAGTTGTTTGTATACCCACCTTATGCTTGCTTACAGCTCAGCAAAGGGCACCCCTGCCATCTACATATTTGTGTCTCCTTCAGAGCCTAACTCAGGGATTTTACATAGGTGGAATGAAAAAAAAATGTTTGTTGAATAAATATAACTAGTTTTAAATGTTATTTTAATTTTTATGTGTATGAAACCTCCTACCACAAATAGAGATCATATGAACAATATTCTCGTGCTCTTTAATTATAGCTCTTCTAGAGTGAATAGCATTGATGAGGCTTCAAATTAATAGGTAGTCACAGAATTTTTTTTTTTTTTTTTTTTGAGACGGAGCCTATATCTGTCATCCAGGCTGGAGTGCAGTGGTGCGATCTCGACTCACTGCAACCTCCGCCTCCCGGGTTCACTCCATTCTCCTGCTGAGTAGCTGCGACTACAGGCGCCCGCCACCACGCCCGGCTAATTTTTTGTGTTTTTGGTAGAGACGGGGTTTCACCGGGTTAGCCAGGATGGTCTCGATCTCCTGATCTCATGATCCGCCCGCCTCGGCCTCCCAAAGTGCTGGGATTACAGGCGTGAGCCACTGCGCCCGGCCCACAGCACTATTTTTATTTAAGTTCTAAATGTTCTTTTAAAATTTAATTTAGCTGTAAGTATGTTTAGTATTTCCAAGTTCACTTTACACAGACTATGAAAACCTTGACCCAGGAGGCCTTGAGAGAAAAAGGCCCCTGTGGCTTTTCGCTCTGCCCAAACGCTGGCTTCGTGGCAGAAGTAGACTGTTCTCCCCCACGCTCGTGTACTCGTCCCTGTGCACTTCCCAGAACTGAATCTTGTTTATGTTTCAAATAACTTCCTTGTGTGCATGTTGTGTAAGAAGAGAGATGTCAATACAGATGTAATGAAGCAGGTTAAAGCCACCTGAGAATATTTGTCTAGAGATAAATGACAATGTGGCTAACCTGAGAGCACTTACTCTTAGTAGATCTCCAGGCTGGTCCATTTCACAATTTAAAGTCCTGTATCAGGAGACGTTGTCAAACATTATCTCTACATTTCTTTAGAGCATGGGTCTAATAAGATCATTCATCTAATAATTTTGGGAAGCTCTTTCTCTCCTAGAGCAGTGCTTCTCAAACTGTACTGTCCGTGCGTATGCGCCGGAGATCTCATTGAAACTGAGTGTGCAAGCAGGTCTGGGGTGGGTGCAGGATTCTGCATTTCTGTTCAGCTCCCAGGTGCTGCGGGTGCTGCCGGTTCATGGACCACACTAGGCAGAGACCTAGCGGAGGGTTCTTGGAGTTTGGTGATGCTGTTCTCATCCAGGTTCGTCAGTTATGCAAAATGGTTTTCTTTCTGTGTCTTGGTTTACCTCATCTGTAACATGAGAATATTGAATGAAATGGTGTCTAATGGCTCTTCTCAACTCAAACATTTTAGGATGACACAGGAGGAGGTAAGAAGAATGAGGGGGCAGGCTGCGGTTCTGAGCACAGATTCATTCTCTTAATCTCAACCCAACTTTCATATTTATTAATAGCTTATTTTAAAGGTAGTATGAATGACATACCATACGTTTTCCATATTTATATTAGAATGTAGACCTTCACAAAATAATTTTAAATATGACAACTTAGTAAATAAATTGCAAGTAAAATATACTTCCTCCTCTACCCTCATCATTTACATGTGTTTTGTTGCTTTTATGTTATTAGGAAATCCTCCATGGCTTGGGTGGGATTGAAAACCTGGCTCAGGTAAGATTCCTGTTGTGGTGGCTGGTCTCGCCTTCTCAGTTTGTGCCTGCTCTGAGCAAGAGTTAAAAGGGTGTGTGACTTTCCTGTGTTATGCTATCCGCCCCAGAGAGGGACAGGTGGGGTTAAGTGTGAGTGTGAGGCATGATACTCACAGAGCAGGGAGGAACCCACGACATTTTGTTCTGGCTGATTGGGCTCACTTTGCTCAGCCTGTTGAAATGAGAAGGTGCTATAAAGGGTCACATGTCTTTAGCTAGTAATAATAAGAAATAGGCAGCCGGGTGCAGTGGCTCACGCCTGTAATCCTAGCATTTTGGGAGGCTGAGATGGGTGGATCACCTGAGATCAGGAGTTTGAGACCAGCCTGGCCAACATGGTGAAACCCCGTCTCTACTAAAAATATAAAAGTTAGCCAGGCACGGTGGCGGGTGCCTATAATCCCAGCTACTCAGGAGGCTGAGGCAGGAGAAATGCTTGAACCTGGGGGGGCGGAGGTTGCAGTAAGCTGAGGTTGCACCATTGCACTCCAGCCTGGGCAAAAGAATGAAACTCCGTCTAACAACAACAACAAAAGGGGCGATGGCTGGAAGGCTCAAGCCCTTAGCATTGTATATACCATATGGTAGGAGGAAAAGAAGTATGTGTATATATATGTATATATATTTGAGACGGTGTCTTACTGTGTTGCCTAGGCTGATCTCAAAATGCTGGGCCCAAGCAATCCTCCTGCTTCAGCCTCCTGAGTAGCTGGGATTACAGGTGTGTGCCGCTGGGCCTGGCAAGATAATAACCTGATTATGAAGATGTTCAAAACTTTTTCACACAAGAAAACGATTACTGTGCTCAATAAAATACTAATAAATAGATGACAAAGAAAGGAAGGATCTTGACCTTATTTATTTTTCTGCTTTGCTACCTACTGAGGGAGGGTAAGCAAGTGAATATATATACTGAGCAACTCAGAGGCTTGCATTTATTAATACAATAAAACAAAATTTCTTTCTTTCTTTTTTTTTTTTGAGACAGGGTCTCACTCTGTCACCCAGGCTGGAGTGCAGTGGTGCGATGTCGGCTCACTGCAACCTCTGCCTCCTGGGTTCAAGTGATTCTCGTGCCTCAGCCTCCCAAGTAGCTGAGATTACAGGCATGCGCCACCATGCCCGAATCATTTTTTTTTTTTTGTATTTTTAGTAGAGACAGGGTTACACCATGTTGGCCAGGTTGGAATAACACAAAATTTCTGATCGTGTTTTTGAGTTGGAACAGGCTAGTCTCCTAAAACCTGTATAATGTTTACAGAGAGAATGATTTTCATAATAAACATGTGGCCCTGAAAACTCATTCTGAATAATTAATGGAAGATTACGTTTGTGGCAATTTAACATTAAATCTACTTTATTTTATTATATTCTTAGAAAATTGATTCTTTTTTTTTTTCAAGAACCTTTTTAAATTGACTAGAGGTTTACCTCATTTAATAACATAATATTTCATAAGATTATATTACAAAGCATCTTCTTATCCATTTTAACTTCTTTTATAATATTAGAAATTACCTGTTTCCCTGAGCCTGTTTCTTATTATAATCAATTATCCACAGTGAGAATTATCAGACTACTCAGTGCTCATTTTATTCTGATTATTGCTAACTGCATGAATGCTGGTTAGACATATATTCAGAGACTATAAAATGTAATGTCAATCAAATAAAAAATTCTCCTAAAAAGATACATTGAAGAATAAACATTCTATATACTATATATTATGTATCTTATATGTATCTCGTATTTGGATACTAAATTACACCACAAACTTACCTAGTGAAGAGTCATTTTGAGACTTTCGAGAGTTTATAGAGTCTTGAGATGGTCTTTCCCTCAACTTCATAGCATGCAAGAGAAGTCAAAGAATCTAGAAACTCAGCCACCTTTTGCCCTTGAGTGGTAACAGTCCCAGAAGGAGCATGAGTATTATTTGATGAATCTGTTGTGCCACCTACAGTTTATTTTGAGAACTGCAGCATTTTGTTCCTTGCTTCCTTGCGTGCTTTTGGTGCCCTCCTGACTGGCTTGTTGGTTTGGTCCTTCATGCAGTACATGGAGATTGTAGCCAGCGAGTACCTCGGCTATGGAGAAGAGCAGCACACTGTGGACAAGCTGGTCAACATGACATGTAAGTGTTGTTGTGGGGACACAGCCAGTTTTGTGGACTTGCTAGAAAAGCAGTATGGTGTTTGCAGTAGGAAACAAGGATACTTTAAATATTTATTAATGTTTCCACACACAGCTCAGGTGGTGAGCGTCCTGGCCAATTGTTTATTTGATGGCAATATACAGCCAAAAGGAAGATGTTTAGATTACAACCCTCACCTTGAAAAGCACAATTTATGTAATGCAGGAGAGGCTTCCATAAAAGCAAATTTTGGTAAAACATATTTTTGCCTCTTTTTATTTCTGTTAAAATGTCAGAGACTATCCAGTTTTTTTTTCTATAAAATTGGGTTAATCATGATACCCACCTCATAGAATCTGAAGCATCCAGAGCGTGAAAAAGAAAAATAACAACAACAAACCTTATCTGATGCTGTGAATGTGAAAACGTTGGGCTGTGAGTGTGAGGTATTCCTTAGTCACTCAATCTTCTCCCGTTGGAGGCTCTTCCCCGCCCTGCTGTCCTGCACTCCAGCTTTGATGAGCCACAGATGTCCTGCCGTGTGGGAGGCCAGTCCGTTGTCTTTGTGTGAATCGACTGGCTCTCCATATCCTCCTGTGGGGCAGCACAGTGGTTCTCAAATCCGGGCAGAGAAGAGTTTATGGCAAGCCCTGGGCACCAGGAATTCTCTTTGAGGATGACTGTTTTCCTCAGCTGAGGAAACTAGCAGGTTCCTCTCATTTGCTGGCCTTCCCTCTCTTCTTTATAAGTTGAAATCTTTGCAGAGAGGACCTTTGAAGAACAGGCCTCACTTGGAACTGGTAATGTTAAGAAACGTGTTCAAATTTAAGTGGAAAGAGAGGTTTGCCTTTTTTGGTATTTTTAGATTTCATTATTATAATAACATTACAAAATAAATAACAGTGGAGCTTGAGGAGTAATTCTTGGGGTAAAAAAGTAGCCATGCTGCTCCTGCATCTGTTGTTCCTTTCGTGCTGTCTGTATTCCCTTTGCCCTTTCTCTGCCTACCCATTATACTGCAGATCTGTGCTCCTGGGAGTACTCCCCATTTAATCTCCAGATGCCTCTTTGCGCTCTTTCTTTCCTTTATAGACATCTTTCAAAAACTTGCTGCAGTCAAAGATCAAAGAGAATGGGTCACCACAAGTGGAGCCCACAAGGTGAGTGGCCCCCGAAAGAGTTAATGGTTCAGCTCCCTATGGCAGTCGTTCACATTTGGGAAGTTCAGGGCCTTTGCAGTTAAGTCATGTGTAATTAGAATCCAGAAACCTGGCAGCCTGGCCTAAAATTGTGAATCTTTGTCAACCCTTTTATATTCTTTGCCAGCGTTTCGAGTTAATAGAGATATAATAAATACACGTTTTCTGGAACTCCTTTCCTTTTTTTCTATGCCACGTAATACCAACTAGGTTTATTGCTTAAATATTACTTGAAAATCCCTGGCTATGTATAAACTCACCCTAGGTGTGCGTTTATAAATAAGTCAACAAAAATAAAATTGTGCATAGGTATACATATAAATTCCATATGGCATGTGGGGCTATAGTAGTTTGAACCACATGTGATTGCCACTGTAGGTCAAAACAGACTATATTTATAGCAAAACTGTTTGGATTGTAACCATGTGGAGCCAAGTTTCAGTAACCTGTTGAGTTTCATATCCCAGGAAGCCACTTTCTAGTGTATATGGGAGTAAGATTGCCTAAAATGTGTTACACGTGCTGCTCATGGTCTAGAGGATGATTCTAGGTGATATACAGGTCAACATTTTTTGTTTCCATAGCCATCTATTTCACAGATATTATTGCTTACAATTGGAAAATTGTTTTGAGCTAACATTAAAGGTGTTAATTGAATATGGCAAAAATTGTGAAAGTAATATGTAATGGATTGAAATTTGGGAAACATTAGAAGACAGAGATAAAAGAGAGAAGAAAAAGAGGAAGGGATCAGATGAACAAAGATAATGGTAACTTTATTAAGATAAAATGAAATCATAAAGGCAAAAAATCCATATACTGGAAACATAAAAATTATCTTTGCAGTCATTGCACAGGTTGCAGCTCTGACCTGGGACATTTTGGGAGGCACTTTTCAGGGGCACTCTGCATTCTGAAAATGTAGAGAATTTTCCAAGTAAGAAAACTTGCCTTAACAAGAATTCAGGGAAAGCCACTGACAAAATACAGACTTCCAGCTAAGTCATATTATTTAGGATGATGCTTGGAAGCATCGATGGTGCACCTTCAACATCAATTAGAAATCTGAGAGGCAGATGGAATGCTTGATAGTATTCATATCTTCTTTAGTTTGGCAAAAGAATGAAATTTTCAATATTTTGTTGAAAAATAGTTTCATAATTTGGAAAGTGACTAGCACAGTGCCTAGCTCAAAGTGAGTTCTCAATGGCTGATTACTACCACTGTTGTAATTTATGTCATTAATTGTCCCGGTTCTCCCCAGGGTGGGATCAGAAGGGGCAGAGAATACTTGGGCACATGGAAATACAGGGAAGTATGAGAACCAGGCTGGTCATGTGGCTTGATGCCTTTTAGGCTTCCTGTCCTGGGCAAGGAATGGCTACAAGAGGTTACTCTCAAGAGTTCCAAAGTAAGGAGAGATGGACTCCTGCCATCTGTAAAGAACTGGATATTTTGAATGTTTAATAAAACTCTTTTTAAGAATAAACTTTTATATTGACTGCAAAAAATAAAAAAGAAACTGCATAAGGCTTGAGAGGCCATAATATTTTTTCACTATTCTATGGTTAAAGCCATAATAAAATAAACAACTTGATTATATTGACAAAAAGTGTTTATAAAGATATATTTAATGCCATGAAAAAATTTCGGTAGATGACATTAAGAAAAAAACATAAGAGAGAGCAGCTTTAACATTATATATACAGTTTGTGCTTAATTGTATATGCACATACATTATAAACTACTAAGCAAACAAAAGAAAAGAAAACAAAACAAAAAGGTTAAGCCTGTATGATCTTGAGAGGGAAACATTTTGCCATTCAAGTGGCTGGTAATGGAAAATAAATTAATGTTAATGTTGGAAAAAGAAGCTTGTAGTACTTATATAATTAAACTTTATTTTACTTCATTTTTCAGACATTAGTAAATTTACTTGGTGCCCGAGATACTAATGTTCTATTGGGTTCCCTTCTGGCTCTGGCTAGTTTAGCAGAAAGGTAAGTAATGTATTCTGCTATACTTTCCAGTTCTGCTACTATAGCAATTTAGGTGGGAAGGATGCAAAATAATCAGTTACTTTGTCAACTACTTAATAACATTTCTTGATACATAAGTGTGAAATAACATGTTGAAGAGAATCCTGGATAGAAAGCATTATTTAAAAATTTAAACTGGAAAGGCAAATCATAGTTTAAAATTTTCTTTTTATTTCCTGACTGGAAATGTTTACTTAGTCTTTTATCTAACCCTCAGTTACTTCTAATTTCAAAATCACCATAATCTTTCTTTGGCAGCTGAATCTTTTTGACCTTCTTAATTCATTCTTACCTGAGAATTTTAACATACAGAACATTTTCAAACATGTGTGGGCTTTGAAAAATTTTCAAGAAGATCTTTCTCCTTATAAATGTCATGATTATTTTAAATGTTTTTAAGACAATAAGTGGACCATTGCTTTTCTGTGAATAACATATGATTCCTTTTGTTTTCTGATCTCTTCTCCCAAGATAATATTGGAGCGAATATAAATATAATAGGAATATAGTGAATTTATATGGTTAGCCTTTGTGTCCCCACCCAAATCTCATCTTGTATTGTAATCCCTATAATCCCCATAATTCCCTCATGTCAAGGGAGAGACCAGGTGGAGGTAATTGAATCATGGGGCCATTTCCTCCATGCTGTTCTTGTGATAGTGAGTGAGTTCTCACAAGATCTGATGGTTTTATGAAGGGCTCTTCCCCCTTCGCTCGGCACTTATCCTTCCTGCTGCCTTGTGAGGAAGGTGCCTTGCTTACTCTTTATCTTCCACCATGACTGTTTATGTTCCCTGAGGACTCCCCAGCCATGCTGAACTGTGAGTCAATTAAACCTCTTTCCTTTATAAATCACCCAGTCTCGGGCAGTTCTTTATACTAGTATGAAAAAGGACTAATACATGGAGGTAGCAAAATATGCTTTTAGTAATTGCTAATATTTTTCAATTTACAGTCCAGAATGTAGGGAGAAGATAAGTGAACTCAACATTGTAGAGAATCTGTTGATGATTTTACATGAATACGACTTGCTTTCTAAAAGGTAGGATTGCTAACAGGAGAAAGAGACAATGCAGTGCCTTTATTTGACAGAAACACTTGTTGTTATTTTTATTACGTCGTGTTATTTACATTGTAACTGAATATAATGAGTCAGCTTAGCATTTATTTTCTGTTTAAGTTTATATAAAGAGAATACAGCAAAGAAGTATATCCATTTATCTTTAGTCTTGCATTACTTCTAGATCTGGGCATAGAAGCTGATGAAATAAATTTTTGTGATACCATCTTTAATGTTTTGTTTATTGCATTTATTTATATCCTGCCTTTTTAGGGAAAGAAACTCTGAGGTGGGTCTATTTTTAGTAATTTCAAATTGTGTATTACAATAAATGATTAGATTGCTAAGATCCATTTGCATTAAGGCAAGTAAAATATGATAGCAACTGACTTGTTTTGTGATCACCTGCTCTAATAACTCAAAATAAAATCTAGAGTAAAATGGATTCATTTTTACTTGAACTGAATATTGTTCTAATAACTATCCAGATAGTTATTAGATTGTGCTTAAACAGAGTTGCAATCTACATCATTTGATATTTAGTTGAGTGATTTTCTAAAGAGGCAAAAGAGATAAAAAGAAATCTCAAGCAATGAAGCCCTGACACTTAACTCATAGTAAATCCTTTTGTATTCTTCTTCAAAACTCTCGTAAAAGAGCATTAAATCTAGATAATACTTACAGACTTGGTTATCTGAACAAACCAGGTTCCAAGCTTGGTACCAGGTGTTGAAAACCAAAGATGAATAAGTTATAAATATGTAACGTAGGAGAGGTCAGACAGCGCTGTAACTGGTACAGTAGACAGATGCACAGGGGACTCTGGGAGCACGGAGCAGAGACCCCAATTAGAATGTGGAGTCATGCAAAGTTTCCTGGAGGAAAGAGGAGATATCTGGCCAGAGAGAGAGAGACAAAGTAAAAACAGAATGTGCTTGGACATGGAGGCATGAAATTGGGTGTGTTAGAGGAATGTGATGGTTGGGCACAGCAGGAGCACAAGAACGAAAGTGCCAGAGAACTAGAGCAGATAGTTAATGATAAACTTAAAATGTAGCTAACTTTGATCAGTGTTCTATTTATGCCAAGACCTGCTCTAAGCACCTTGCATATTAACTCATGTGATCTGCACACTAACCCTATTTTTCCCATATTTTATAGATAAGGCAACAAGACGCCTTTATCCAGGTCATGCTGGTCTCTGATAAATAACAATGTGAATTTTATCATGAACATTATGGGGACTCGTGGAAAAATTTTAAGCATGATCAAATTTGTTTTTTTAAAGATCACTTTGATAGCAGTGTATGTGGGAGTGAGGTGGGGGGTGTTTGTTTATATCCACATATTGAGATCCACTTACAACAAGGAGAGGATGTTTGGTGTAGAAAGTTTGTGAAGGTAAAGAATACTATTTATCAAGGAACATTGATTATTAATGTCAGAGCACAAAATTCGGGAGGGAGAGGAGCCATAGATAATCAGTTCAGGGGAAAGGAATGAGAAACCAGTATGGGAATGAGAATATTGGAAAGGTAGATGAAAGAAGGGTTTATATCTTGAGCATGACCAAGGATTACAAGGAGGGGAGGAGCAGGGGGGTTAGCTAGCTGCCTGATGTTCAAGAGCATCCCAGAAGTTACCCAGGAAATAGAAAACACTAAGAGCTCTTGACTGACTGTGGAGGAGTGTGAGAAGAGGAATATGTGTCTTGATGCCTCCCAGTCTTGTGGCTTGGAAAACTGAAAATATTGTGGTGCCATGAGTCAAGGTCGGGGATATAAGGTGAAGAATAGACCTGGGGAGGAGGCTAATGACTTTGAGTTTAGGGGTAGTGTGGTGAGTACTTGTGGATCATCCATGTGGCTAAAACTTCTGGAGGTTAGGAGCAATGCCTGGGCTGAGATCATGATGGCAAGGTAGAAAGAGTGTTTGAAATCATGGGAGTGGATGACACTATCCAGGATGAGAGTGTTTAAGTATGAGACTAGAGGACTGAGGATGATTCTATAAAACATTTATCATCATAATTTTTCATGGCACAGCTGAACCTTGTGTCTTTACCATCAATTTAATGCACTTTACACTGAGTATATAGTAACTGAGTGCTTTGCCCTTAACTCCCCTGCATTGTAGTGTTTTTGACATTTTCTATCAATGTCTTATTTTGCAATTACACAGTAAGTTTCTGAAGACTAGAATAAGGCTTTTAATTTTGTTTTTTTTTTTTTTTGTCTTTAGCACAATGCAGATCTCATTGTTTGTCCTTGATACTTATTTGCTGGTCAGTAGTTTTTGTTTTTGAAATAGAGTCTCGCTCTGTCACCCAGGCTGGAGCGCAGTCGCAAGTGACCTTGGCGCACTGCAACCTCTGCCTCCTGGGTTCGAGCAATTCTCCTGCCTCAGCCTCCCAAGTGGCTGTGATTACAGGCACACACCACCACGCCCTGCCAATGCTGGTCAGTAGGTTTTTAACCAGACCAATGATGATGCAACGAGCCTATAATTTAGAACAGTGATCTGCAAACTATGACCTACAGGCTAAGTTTATTCCACTGCTTATTTTTGTAAATAAAGATTTATTGTAACATAGGGATGCTAATTTATTTTTATATGTTGTCTATGGCTGCTTTCATGCTATCAGCATAGATGAGTTCTTGTGACAGAGATTGTACGGTTAGTAAAGCTAAAAGTGTTTGATTTTGATCGGGCTCCTAACAGAAAATGCACGTTGACCCATGACTTACAAAATGTTAGGGTTATATTTAATGCACTGATGATAGCTTTAGTCTTAATGTAAAGTCATCAACTCATGATGTTGTGATTCTCACCCCCACCCTCCCCACCCCTTTCAGACTAACAGCGGAGCTGCTGCGCCTACTTTGTGCAGAGCCCCAGGTGAAAGAGCAGGTGAAGCTCTACGAGGGGATACCTGTCCTCCTTAGTCTGCTCCACTCCGACCACCTGAAGCTGCTCTGGAGCGTTGTCTGGATTCTGGTACAGGTTTGTGAGGACCCTGAGACCAGCGTGGAAATTCGCATTTGGGGAGGCATCAAACAGCTTCTTCATATTTTACGAGGGTGAGTCAGAGTGGGCTTTGGCCTACTTTGCCCTATTTGTTGAAGTCTGGGGACTCTGTGACGAGATGGCAGATTGGTGTGTGCTCACCTCGTTCCCTTCTGCTTTGGGGTTTCTTTGGTAATTCATGCCTTCCGCCGTCATCTATACTTGTCACAAGCATGTTCTACATCCATGTCAGGGGCATTCATCTTTTCAATTCCTTGGGGACCCAGATATATTTATCTTTGCATCACCAACCTCCAGTACAGTGCTGGGAATGTCGAAGGCCATCAATCTGCAAATATAGTGAAGGCTGAATGGAAATCCAGTAACCTAAAGAAAACCTTTGTCTTGTCACCTTTTCCTTGAATTAGTATACGCATTTTGTCATTCCAAGTATAATGATTAGTAATATTTTCCTAAAATGTTTGTGTGTGCACATACATTATTGTCTATAAAGAGAAAATAAAGCCTATATGAAAGGAGCAGGTGTATAATCCTTATTTTTCAAAGATGATATCATTAATCAAGTGGTTGCCATGTTACTAACTCTAGTCCAGTTCTCTACTTTTCTCTCAATGGTCCTCTAAGGTGGGCATCATCTCTCTTTTAAAAGTAGAATTCCAGTGACATTGTAAGTCAGGAGCATAGAGAATGGATAGTTTAGTTTCCAATTGAAATTCTCTAGAAGCATGTTGCAATCTAACTTCTGTATTTTCTGAATTAAATATATTGAAGTATTGAATAATCATATCTTGTGGTACCATCCATGGGAAGATTCTATTACCTAATGTTGTTTTAAAGTATAATTCAGTTCTATGGGTGCTGAATCAAAGTTAAAAAAAATGAGTATGCATATTTGAACTGGATCATGTTTATGATCTGCAGTACATAAATAAAGCTCATTTTAATACAAGGAGAGGGACTTATCAATTTTCATATAACTAGATATTGTCAAATCAATATTGTTATGACTTTGTACTGGTTATGCTTCTAGGGATATTGCAGAACTGTGTGTTACCAACTTCATTTTCTCTGAGGGAACATTCAGAAGCATAAGAACAGACTGTAGACACATGAACAGTCGCTTTGTTAACAGTATCTGTCAATAACAATTACCTAAACAAAGAAAAAAATTTATAGACTGCTGGCAATCTACTTGCTTTATGAATGTGACATAAAGATATCAATACTTTATAGTATAAATTATAAGTCATTCATTAGTGCTGTGACATAATAAGCCAGCCCCTTGGTCAAAGTAATCACAATTGACAAAGGTTTTTTATTTAGGTTTGTAGGATGATGATGGTAATGATGATCATGGCGGTGGTTATATCTTTATTATTGGACAACCATACCTATTGCAATAGGTGTGGGTTGCCCTCTTGGAGAACAGCTATTTTCTTAAGAATAAAATGAAATTCTATAATAGTTAAGCAGAATTTCAAAGACAAAACCTGCCTTTTTCTCGTGTAGAATTGAATCTAGCTTTTCTCTTTTGCTCAAGTCATAACTATCCTTGGTGAAAAAGAGGTCTTTCACATCTAAAGAATCATTTTCCAGTCCATTTTGATGGTGCAATGTTAGCAAACTTTTCCCTGGGATAATGACATATTTTACCTCTTATTCTATGTTAAATATGTGCTGGTGCTCTGGGAGAATTTATTACCCCAGCTGGATAAACAGTTTCCTTTTAGAGCTCGTTCCTGCCCCTGGGCTGACTGCAGCTGGCACTAGGGGTAAAGGTTGCCAAGCTGTCTTGTGGCTTGAGTATGAACACCACTGTTGTCAGGGCAGTTTCCGGGAAACTTTCTCATGCCTGTTCACCTGCCATCCCACACTCAAAGGCAGCTCCCAAAGGGCTCTCTTGTTCAGGTGAAGAGATCCCTACAATTTGAGTTTTAAGATAATAATGTTGACAGATAAGATCGCCACCTGTGATGTCCCTAGGCTCAGCTCCATTACCTTCCCCATGCTCATTACAGGGAGGACACTAGTGGACCCAGATGACATGAGAGGGAAGTCAAGGAAACTCCATCCATGTTACATTTAGGCACGGAGAAATCCAGGTGGAGTTGCTGCTATAAAAAAAAAAAAATACATGGAAAAAAAATGGTAACTATGTAAAACAAAAGACAACAAAGCAGGCAAAAGACAGATGAAGAATCTATTATGGAAGAAAGTGCACAGAGTAAACAGAAAAGCGAATGCTTTATTTCATCAAGGACATTAAGCAGAGCATGAATTTATGAAATGAGATTAAAGATGAAACAAATTTTGGACACAAAAAGGGGAGAAGATTGCAGAGCCAGGAAAGAAAGCAAGGACTGAATAACACCTACAGAACCGACAAATTAGCTAGATCACCAGAAAAAAAATAGAAATAGTAAAATGTAGGGTAAGCTTGGAAAAAATTACATATAATGCAGAAGAAAAAGACCAACGAATAAAAGAAATTAGAAAATGAATGATATGCCCAATAGAAGAAGACAGGTTTTCAACATGTGGATAATTGAGATGCTGGAAGTACAGAGTAAACTGAAAAGGGCCAAACTTTTCCAAGGTATGATAGAAGAGAACTTTCTTAAAATAAAGGAAGATTGAAAGTTCATGGAAAAAGAAAACAGAGAATAATCAAGACTAAGATGTATTCAGGTGAATCAACTCCAGGAAAATAGAAAATTCAAAAACAAAGGTGGCCATGTAGAGCAGTGGGGAGAGGACACTTTTCAATAAATAGTGAGGAATCAGTTTAGTAACCATAAAAAAAAAAAGATTCTTACCACACACCATACACAAAAATCAACTCCAGGTGGATTGGAAAGTGAAACAATAATGATGCCTTCATGACATGAGGGAGGCAAAGATTTCTTAAATGTGACATAGAAAGGACTGACGGTGAAGGGAAATTGATAAATGGTCTGTGCATTAACTTTTCTTTTTCAGAGACAGAAATTTTGTTTCTGATCGCTCCTCCATCGGAAGCCTGTCCAGTGCAAATGCTGCAGGCCGAATTCAGCAGCTTCATTTATCAGAAGACTTGAGCCCTAGGGAAATACAAGAAAATACTTTCTCTCTTCAAGCAGGTGTTTATGTTTTATTATTTGATATGCTATAATTTACTATGTTGTATTATTATTCACTATTATAGATTAGTATAATAGTGTTAAGTAGGCACAATTTAGAAGTTTACAAAAATGTGAGGTGAAATCCACGTGGATGCTGGCAACTTCTTGGTCCCAGTGTTGGACTTGTAGATGAATGATTTAACAAATGTTTTCTTTGCCTTCTATGTTCTGAACCCAGAAAGAAATAAACTCAGAAGTCAGAGATAGGGAGACAAAACATTAGCTTTATTATGAGGGAAACTGGATTAGGGGATGCAGCTTGATCTGTGGCCGGAGTCATGCTTTCTAGAATTTTCTAGATCCCAGGGCACCTTACATAAGGGGGAATCTTCCGTGCACACACTTGTCTCACCAGGTGCAAGAGAATACCTTCCCCATGCTTCTTGAGCTCCAAAGAGAAGACAGAAAGATGCTGCCCTGTCTAGGATTTTCACATGCAAGCAGGAGCAGCAATGCATCAATGCTTTTTGGCAGGGCCACCTTGAGCAGTCATGCAGTGTGTGTCCTGCCTGGGGGCACCTGGCCTTTGGGACAAGTGGAGACACAGTGCAGTTGGTGCACTGTAGTGCTGAGTGCTATTGGCCAAGTTGGGTGCCCCACAGCAGCGCACAGAAAGGGAGCAGAGAGGCGTGGTGTGGGCCAGCAGGAGACAGGGGCACTCTGAGGGGAAAGAGCAGACATTGCGGGAGAGGAAACAAGGGAGTGGGGGAGTGGGAGAAGGCAGGCTTTCCTTGCTGTCTACTGTTTTCTCCTGAAGAATACAGAAGATATTTTTTCACAGATGTGTGAAAACAAGGACATAGGATCTCCTCCTCAAAGTGCCATTTCTGCTTACTCTAAAAGGACCCTGTCTCGATACAAAGTCTTGTGCTGGGGGTTTACTGTTTGAAGGCTCCCCAGAAATCTAATCCAGCAGAATCTCAGAGCTCTGAGTGTTTCTAGCAATCATTCAAAGAGTGGGTGAGATTGATAGTGATAGAATTCAGAAGAGCAGCTACTTAGATGTGGAATTATAGGGGAATGAATGCCTGAGAAGGGGCACAAGGAGCCTTTGAGAACTGGAAATATAGCCTACACATTCCTCTGGGTGGAGGATGGTTACAGGGCACACAGATATGTAATATCTCATTGAGCCATACACTTAAGATGTGTTTATGTTATACAGCTTATTCTATACCTGTATTAGTCCATTTTCACGCTGCTAAAGACATACCCAAGATAGGGCAATTTACAAAAAAAGACATTTAATGGACTTACAGTTCCGCATGGTTGGGGAGGCCTCACAATCATGGTGGAAGGCAAGGAGAAGCAAGTCACATCTTACATGGATGATGGCAGGCAAGAGAGAGCTTGTGCAGGGAAACTAAGTGCACTTTCATGGGTTTACAAAAAAAAAATTTTAAAAACCATCAGATCTCAAGCAAGACTCATTCACTATCAGGAGAACAGCACAGGGAAGACCCGCCTCCATAATTCAGTCACCCCCCACTGAGTTCCTCCTGTGACATGTGAGAGTTGTGGGAGTTACAATTCAAGATTGAGATTTGGGTGGGGACACAGTCAAACTATATCATTTTGCTCTTGGCCCCTCCCAAATCATATGTCCTTACATTTCAAAACCAGTCATACCTTCACAACAGTCCCCCAAAGTCTTAACTCATTTCAGCATTAACTCAGAAGTCCACAGTCCAACACCTGAGACAAGGCAAGTCCCTTGCCTGTGAGCCTGTAAAATCAAAAGCAAGTCAGTTACTTCCTAGATACAATGGGGTACAGGCATTGGATAAATACAGCTGTTCCAAATGGGAGAAACTGGCCAAAACAAAGGGGCTACAGTCCCCATGCAAGTCCAAAATCCAGCAGGGCAGTCAAATCTTAAAGCTCCAAAATGATCTCCTTTGACTCCATGTCTTGCATCTGGGTCACACTGATGCTATAAATGGATTCCCATGATCTTGGGCAGCTCTACCCTGTGGCTATGCGAGGTACAGCTTCCCTCTTGGCTGCTTTCATGGGTTGATGTTGAGTGTCTTTGGCTTTTCCAGGCACACAGTGCACACTGTCAGTGAATCTACCATTCCAGGGTCTGGAGGACAGTGGCCTGCTTCTTACAGCTCCACTAGGCAGTGCCCCAGCAGGGACTCTGTGTGGGGACTCTGACCCCACATTTCCCTTCTGAATTGCTGTAGCAGATGTTCTCCATGAGAACTCCACCCCTTCAGCAAACTTCTGCCTGGGCATCCAGGCATTTCCATACATCCTCTGAAATCTAGGCAGAGGTTCCCAAACCTCAATTCTTGACTTTTGTGTACATGCAGGCTCAACACCACATGGAAGCTGCCAAGCCTTGGGACTTCCACCCTCTGAAGCAACAGCCTGAGCTGTACCCTGGCCCCTTTTAGTCATGACTGAAATGGCTGGGATGCAGGGCACCAAGTCCCTAGACTGCACACAGCAGAGGGACCCTGGGTCCAGTCCATGAAACCAATTTTTCCTCCTAAACCTTCAGGCCTGTGATGGGAGGGACTGCCGTAAAGGTCTCTGACATGCCCTGAATAAATTTTCCCCATTATTTTGGGGAATAACATTTGGCTCATTACTTATGCAAATTTCTGCAGCTGGCTTGAATTTCTCTTCAGAAAATGGGATTTTCTTTTCTATTGCATTGTCAGACTGCACATTTTCCAAACTTTTATGCTGTATTCCTCTTCTAAAATTCAATGCCTTTAACACATTCAAGTCACCTCTTGAATGCTTTGCTGCTTAGAAATTTCTTCTGCCAGATACCCTAAACTATTTCTCTCAAGTTCAAAGTTCCATCAGATATCTAGGGCAGGGGCAAAATGCCGCCAGTCTCTTTGCTAAAACATAACAAGAGTCACCATTGCTCCAGTTCCCAACAATTTGCTCATCTCCATCTGAGACCACCTCAGCCTGGATTTTGTTGTCCGTATCATTATCAGCATTTGGTCAAAGCCATTCAACAAGTCTCTAGGGAGTTCCAAACTTTCCCACATTTTCCTGTCATTTTGTGAGCCCTCCAAATTGTTCCAACATCTGCCTGTTACCCAGTTCCAAAGTCGCTTTCAAATTTTCTGTTATCTTTTCAGCAAAGCCCCACTCTACTGGTACCAATTTACTGTATTAGTCCATTTTCATGCTGGGCAATTTCCAAAAGAAAGAGGTTTAATGGACTTACAGTTCCACATGGCTGGAGAGGCCTCACAATCATGGCAGAAGACAAGGAGGAGCAAATCTCATCTTAAGTGGATGGCAGCAGGCAAAGAGAGGGCTTGTGCAGGGAAACTCCCATTTTTAAAACCATCAAATCTTGTGAGACTCATTCACTATCATGAAAACAGTGCAGGAAAGACCCACCCCCATAATTCAATCACTTCACACCAGGTTCCTCCCATGACACGTGGGAATTGTGAGAACTACAATTCATGATGAGATTTGGGTGGGGACACAGCCAAACCATATCAATACCTAAATAAAAATGGAAAATAAAAATTAAAAACATAAAGGGTTAAGAGTAGGGTTTGAGTTTTGACTCCACCCTCATTGATGGCTATATGGCCTTGGGCAAGTTCCTTAACTTCTCCAAGCTTCAGTTTTGCTTATGTAAAATGGTGATGATAATCATGATATCAGTGATAGAAGATCATTGTGAGAATTCTATGGGAATATATGTAAAATCTTTAGCACACTAAAATGGAATTATCCTTTATAGGAGCTCTGTGCTATAGAGTCTGGCATACTTCTGAGAGCACAAGTATTTCAGTGCAAAATGCCACCAAAGGCTGCCACAGTGGCTGTCAGGAGGCAAGAGTGGTGCTGTTTAGGGCTGGGGATTTAATGTCTGGCAGACTGGGGCTGCACTCCTGATCGTTTCCACTTACTGGTTGTGTGGCCTAGTCTAGTAACTCTTTGAAACTGTTTTCTCACCACTAACACTGGTAATCATAGTGCATACTCTTATTATAAGGATTGAATTGGATAATATATTTAAAGCATTCTTTTATTTATCAACCATTATAGATATATTTGTTGAGCACCTGCTGAGTGCCAGGGCATGTGTTGGGCACTGGGGATTGCAATGAAATGGACAGATACAGTACTTGCCTCCTGGTACACAGTAAGTTCTCAATAAATGGCTGCTGTGGAATAGATGTGCACAGGAAATACATGGAGAGGAGAATTAGAAGCCATTACAAGTCAACTTCTCTTCTTCCAGAGCTGTGCCAGAAGGAAAATGAGTGTTTCTTGAGGAGTTACTTTGCTAACAAGCATAGCAAAATAATAAAAATACCCTGTGGAGCAAGAGTATTCATGTGAAAGTGTATTTATTGCAATGATGCACACTATGCATTTGATTGTTTTCATTCCAGCCTGCTGTGCTGCCCTCACTGAGCTGGTGCTCAATGACACCAATGCCCACCAGGTGGTTCAGGTGAGAGCACTCCTTCTCAAGGTCAGGTCTCCGTAACCATTCATAATCAACTCACCTTGTGGTGCAGTCTGTATCCCAGAGCATAGGTTTTGGGATCCCATCATGTGATTTAAAAACTATTTTAACGTTTCTCATTTCACTAATAGAGTTCCACTTTATATTTTGTCCTTCCTCCTTTAACTCACTTGACTTAAAAAGGACCGACATGTGGTTAATTGATGTTTCTTCATTATGTTATGTGCAGTATTTTTTATTTTATCTTTCTAAAAGGGATACTCTGAATTGCTTTAATTCTGGGCATGTAGAATACCATAAGGTAAGGACAAGCGGTCATTTTGATTAAACCTATGCATCAGATTATTAAGTTAGAGATGATGATTGAGACACAGCAAACAAAATATTTATTGCCAAGAAACTGACTTTGCAAAGTATCATCCACTAATTAATCTACTGTATGTACAGCTATATATACATGTTTGTGTATGTATATATACACATAAATATAAATTAATATCTATATAAATAAATATACACACGTATATGTACAACCCTTGTATGGGCTTCTATTGCAAAAGTTACCTCCTACTTAGTGAATTTTACAGAGAAAACCTTTTGACTGTGTCAATATGATATCCAACTTCAAAATACATGCATGTTAGTAAGGGATCAGCTCATCAATGATTAAATTAGGACATGAGAGAAACTCAGCAGATCGGCGGGTAGTTGATAAAGCAGGGCATTTGGAGTTGGCCAGGCTGCGGTTTAATTCCTGGAATTATTATTTCTTGGCTTGGCTTGTAAAAAAATAATGTATCTGCTGTAAGTATTGCTTTTCTCACATATAAAACAAGGAAATTATAGACTAATTTCACAGAGTTGTTACAGAGATTAGATGCGATAGAGCAAATAAGGCTCTTTGCAGTTATAATATGAATGCCTGCATACAGTAAAGATTAGTACATTATGTATTTACTAGATAATAGAAAAGTGGCTGTAAGGTATTATTATTTGTTCATTCCTTCATGTATATATTTCAATTAAAAAATCTAGAAAGATGTCAAGATTATAATAAAGACATAAATTAATAACTGAAATATAATGTCTCCCTTTACAGTTGTGGTAATTAAGGATATAAATAAATATTAAAGATATAATTCTAAGATATTGGGACACCTTTACTCTGTCCCTTTTTAATCTCTCATTCTTTGTTTTTAAGGTATTTGAATCACTTTATGTTTATGTACTTTATAATAATCTTGACTCTCCACAGACAGTTGGAATTTTAAGATTGTAGTTGCACTCTTTGGTGTTTAAAAGTGTTATGTTGACATTTTAAATATTGTTCTGTAATGTTTACTTCAAGGTCCAAAGTTATACTAACATTTCTTCTTTGATACTAATTTTTGAGATTGTTGATTTGCCTCTTTATGCTTGTGTATCACTACAGTGTTGTCACTCATAGTATGACCCCTTTATTCTTTCAGGAAAATGGTGTATATACAATAGCAAAATTAATTTTACCAAATAAGCAAAAGAATGCAGCAAAAACTAATCTATTACAGGTAATAAACATGTCTGTTGTCCTGCAATATCAAGTTATTGAAACCTGGGGTAACTTTGGTAAAATGATCTATGATTTTTAGAATGTTTAGGTTAGTACTGGTCCCTGTACTGACTATGGGGGAAAAATACCTGGCGAGGAAGATTGGCATGGCATGGCATCAAATAATATTAAAACAATGCAGAAGGCTGAACAGTGGTTTCTCTGTGTGGGAGAATTAGGTGATTTATTTAGGTGTTTCTTTGCTTATCAATCAGTTCTATTTTTTTAAAAAAATATTCATTCCTTATGTATCAGAATATAACAACAGGGGAAAATTATTTGCCATCACGGATCTTGACGGATGAGAAGGGACTTGCCAAGTGGATAAGGGGATATTGGGTGGGGCACCAGTGGCATCTGCTGCAGGGTGGAAGGACATTCTATGCAAGGGAACAGCGCGCACCAAGCGTGAAAGCTGTGAGCTTAGAGTGTGCTGAGGGGAAGGGTGAGCTGCTCAGTGGGGCTGGGGTGTGTGGTTGCGGGAGGCAGTGCTCTAGGAGATGAGGCCTCACATGTAAGAAAGGGAAGCAGTTATGCAGGTTCTAAGTTCATTTTTGAGGAGTGGGTATTGGGGGAGCTGAGGGGAGGGGGAGCTGCTCAGTGGAACTGGGGCGTGTGGTTTGGGAAGGCAGTGCTCCAGGAGATGAGGCCTCACATGTAAGAAAGGGGAACAGTTATGCAGGTTCTAAGTTCATTTTTGAGGAGTGGGTATTGGCAGAGTGGGGGCAGAGGGCAGTGTCCCTAATGTCAAAATCTGATTTAAAGTTAGTCTTTGCAATACTTGTAGCTCATCTTTTCTTTTCCCCCCAAGTCATTTTGAAAAGGAAGAAAGAAACAACCTTTGTCTCCAATCTGATTTAAGAGTTATCATCCAAAATGATGGCCAAACCCAGCAGACTCTTTGGGGATCTCTGTGCTGGCGAGCAGGGGTTTTTGGAGAGCTGCCAGGGAAGGTGCAGGCATGGGACGATTTCTTCAGTGCATCACAGATGTATGACACTGTGCTGGTAAACAGATGAAGACAAACCCATCCTGCAGATACATTTTGTGAAGCCAGTAGAGGGTTTTTTAGAATTCCAGATGAAGGACTTTTGAGGAGTACGCATGCTCTCCCTTTCTCACAGTCTCCCCTGCTCTCACCTGGCTCCTTCATGTCATTTTGTTGCCGGCCCCACCTCTCTGGGCAATTTGTTTGGGACACTTCTGTATTCAGATCACTGATTTTAGGAATTGATCCCAGATTTGATTCAGCAGACCCTGATCAATCCAATGGTGGCCTATTGTGCAGGCACAGCTGCAGGCTGGGCACACTCTTTTTTCTCAGTTCTGCAAAATGTCAGATGTTTATTTTTCCTAGCTAAAGCCTCACAGGCCTCTTTCTGAGCATTCTAGGGAGTTACTGTAGATTGTTCTATTTGGGGAATGCTTAAGACTCTTTACTCAGGAGACCAATTTGTCAAGTTTGAGTCCAGTGTGCCTGTGACTATTTTTATATGTCATCATTTCTAGTGTTTATTTTCTCACAGAAACCATATAAATATTGAGGTATACATAGCAGGCTAGAAACAAAATAAACCCTGAGCTCCTGGAAATCTTCAGACGTTTGGTTTTCTCAGCATTGGAATTTTATTTCTTGTCTCTGTACTCATTTTGTACTTTCTAGAAAGAAATGAATGACGAGTACCGAGTGAAGCAAGGCCAATATTCCCAGCGTTCTACAACATAAACACTTTGTAAATACGGGAATGACCCCAGGTGCTGGTGTTTTTTTGTTTTCCCTTATAAGCTTTGGTTCCAACCTGGACCAGCCACTTACAATAAAGTCACGTTAATGTTTACTTCCTGTTAATTCTTTCCTGAAAATGTTTTCATTTGCTGAGCTACCATTTAAGAATCACATATCCTTTTGTTTTCTAGTGTTATGCTTTCAGAGCCTTGAGATTTCTCTTCAGTATGGAAAGAAACAGACCACTCTTTAAAAGGTATGAGGTTAGAGAAATATAAGTGATCATTCGATTTAGGAGCTCATTAGATTGAACTGTTTTCACATACTTGGCTTAGATGCAACAGTAGGAAAATTACACATCAGTATGCAAACCATGTGTCTTCAGATTTCTTATTTCACAGATATAAGTGAGCTATTGTAGTGATTCAGTATCCAGCCACACTGAATATTAACAGAATGATGATGAAAGAGCATAAATCGCCGTATCAATACAACTCCCCTTAATTACATGCGACCACTATAATTTTAGTTTTCTTTTTGATAATTAAAGATGTTGACATTTTTAAAAGATGGTATTAAAATATGAGCTTGTTTTTTCCAGCTAGAAATTTGAAAATCGATCTGGGAATTTCCCTTTAGTCAAAGGGAATTTAATCAAAGGGAAAACAAACTTTTTCTGTGTGTCTTTGATAGTGTAGGAGCTCATTTGAAGGGGAGGCTGGACGTTCTGGCGTCAAGATACCGCATTGGTGAGCCTGACCGAAAGGCCACCATTTTGGGAAGCAAACACTGGTGCCCTCAGTGGTGTTCTGCACACCATTTAGTTGGGTGGGTTAGCCAAAATCATAGGCCCAAGTTTTCACTAACATCTTGTTAAGAAGGCAGAATAGGCATAAAATATTGAGTTAATATAGTGTTTTTTTGTTCAGAAAGCATGGAGCATCACTTTTTGGCCTTTTGGCTGACATCAAGTACAGAAAGCATGGAGCATTTTATGTTGTTACTTTATTTTTATACGATGCTTGGATTTAGAGGAAAATAAAGTAAAATTAGTTCTTTTTTTTTTTTTTTTTTTTTGACAGAGTCTCATTCTGTTGCTTCTCCTGCCTCAGCCTCCTGAGTACCTGGGACTACAGGCATGCACCACCACACCTGGCTAATTTTTGTATTTTCCGTAGAGGCGGGTTTTCACCATGTTGGCCAGGCTGGTCTTGAACTCCTGACCTCAGGTGATCCACCCACCTCGGCCTCCCAAAGCGTTGGGATTACAGGCGTGAGCCATTGCACCCAGCTACTTATTCTTTATGCTCTTTCATTTCAAAGCTCTAAACCATCCCTTTTAGTGAACTCAAATATTTAAAATTGAGCCCTGGAAACCAGTGTCTTGGGAATGGTGAATGAATCTCCTTATTTGTTTTATTTTTCATACCAGTATTTTTATTTTCATGGAACTTTAATTTAAAAGTTAGATTAGTATTTACTTCTTACTAAAATCTGAGTCAAATGACGTTTGTGGAAGTGCTCCACACCCCCCAAAAAAACACCCAATAAATGTTTCCTTCTAATATATTCAATACCTATACCCCCAAATATCTTACAAATAAGATTTTTGTATAATCTGTATCATATCTAATTTTAAATTATGGTAAAAATATTAACATGCCATCTACCTTCTTAAAATTTTAAGTGTACAGTGTTGTTAACTGTAAGCACAAGGTTGTACAGCAGATCTCTAGAACTTTCTTCTCCATTTGTTTTTTTCTTACCCCACAGAAACAGTAAATAGTGTATTTTTTTAAGGTAAGTTGGAGAATATTGTTTCTCCAACTTTGTTGATAACCAAAAGAAGTTAAATTTGTTTCGTGTAATTAATCAGTGAGCGAGCTGCATTCAAAAGGGAAGTAATGGGCCGGGCACGGTGGCTCACGCCTGTAATCCCAGCAAGGGATTGGGAGGCCAAGACGGGCGGATCACGAGGTCAGCAGATCGAGACCATCCTGGCTTAACATGGTGAAAACTCGTCTCTACTAAAAATACAAAAAATTAGCCAGGCGAGGTGGCAGGCGCCTGTAGTCCCAGCTACTCAGGAGGCTGAGGCGGGAGAGTGGCGTGAACCCAGGAGGTGGAGTTTGCAGTGAGCTGAGATCACGCCACTGCACTCCAGCCTGGGCGACAGAGCAAGACTCCATCTCAAAAAAAAAAAAAAAAAGGGAAGTAATGATCAACAGTGTCCAAGTCCTACGATAAGTGTGTGTAATTTTCTCTGTAGAGTTTTCCCCACAGACTTGTTTGAGATCTTCATTGACATAGGACATTATGTACGTGATATCAGTGCTTATGAAGAATTGGTATCCAAGTTGAATTTATTAGTGGTAAGTCCTGAGTTTTCAATATTTTGGCAGGCTGCTATGTAGTTAGGATGGAATTTATCACAGAAACCCATTTCCTTTTTATATTTTGATTAGGAGGATGAACTGAAGCAAATTGCTGAAAATATTGAAAGCATTAATCAGAACAAAGCTCCTTCGAAATATATAGGCAACTATGCGATTTTGGATCATCTTGGAAGTGGAGCTTTTGGCTATGTTTACAAGGTGACTTTCCCCTTGGGGAACATTTCTGATACTCCCAACCAAACAGGATGTCACACTTGCACACCGATATTCAATTGAATTGGAACTCTTGTCATTGAAAAATAGCAAACAAATAGATATGAAAATTAGAATGATTGTTTTTGTCAAACAGAGATAGCCACACTAATATTGTTTTAGCTGTAAGCTCTAGAAATCGGCCACTGACTTTTTAAGACAAAAGGCATCATTAATCTGTCACAAAAATATTCAAAAAAGCTTCTCCCAATGCATGATGCAATCTCTAAATTGTAAAATGCTACTAAATATTACAGATTGACCCAGGGGATACCAGTGTTTTGAGCTGAGCTTAATGTAAATACAGCTGGAACTTTAAATGCTCTGTGACTTATTTATATGACTTAGTTACTCACGTGACTTTGTTAGCCTATCTCTTTCTTCCCCTTTCTACCTTCTACTTCTTTACCCTGTTCCTTTTTTTGTTGTTGTTGTTGTTCTTTATTTTAGGTTAGAAAGCGTAGTGGTCAAAATCTTTTAGCAATGAAAGAGGTCAATTTACATAACCCAGCATTTGGAAAGGATAAGAAAGATCGAGACAGCAGCGTAAGGAATATTGTTTCTGAATTAACAATAATTAAAGAGCAGGTAAATGTTTTTCTTGTTTCTGAAGATGTTTTTCTTAAATACATATCATTGCAAGAAAGTAGAGTTGTGGTGTTCTTGTCTATGATGCTTATGAACTAGTTCCACATGAAATAATTGACATTGAAGCAGTGATATTTTTGCCAGCTTTTCCCCTAAGGCTTGACACTGAAGCATAAAACACTGTCTGGAGTTTATATCAGGGTCATGGATGCAAAACAATTGGATTTACAGTACAGAATGCATCATATATGAGAAATCCTTTTCTTTTCATTGTGAGCATATCTATTATTTTCTCATTATATTTTAGGATATTTGGTTACTTAGTTACATACATAGAAATATGACTGTTTCTTGACTTTTGCCCAATGGAACCAAGCTGTTAACATTCCTCAAATATGGCTTATAAAATCTAGAGTGTAGATTTTCAAGATGGGTTATTATTTATTGGCATGAGCAGAACACTCTGACATAATGTAACAGCTCAATTAACTCTCATTATGAAAGTTTGTTTGAGGAGGAAGAATAAACATTTCAAAGAGAAATGGGATTTCTTTGTGTGATCCAAGAACACATTGGTTTCTTTTTCAGCCTTCCTTGTTTGCACATTCATTATGAATACTGTTCATTTATAATTCCTGTGGTGCACTGTCAGCTTCGCTGCTTTCGTCCTCCACTAGTCACATTTGCATAGCATTTGTGTTGGGATGTAACAAATTCCATGAACATGGAGACCTTTATTCATAGAAATTGATAGTTCTACTCCAGTGTATACATTATAGTAAATATTATCATTAATTGTTTATTTTATAGTTGATTTTATTACTAATAGACCAGACTTTAAAAAGTTTGTTCATGTGTTTGTGTGGTCATCTAGCCTTCCACAGTGTGCTCTTTCATTGTAGCAAAAGGCTAGAACAGGGCTTTTGGACTAAGCCAGTCCAGTGTTTTCATCTGGACCCAAATATGGTTTTAGTCCTTACGGGTGAGCCAGGTCCAGAATATGGTTCTGGTTGGTTACCTGGTCACATATTGTTTAAGATCTGCTGGCCGCTTGCTAGTTGATGAAGTAGATTATTTGTTTTAGCATGTTTCCTAAGAAAAGAAACTGTTAGACTAGGATTAGATAGGAGGCCTATGCTTGGGCTTTGAGGTGACTCAAACTTACTCTCTCACTAGAGGATCAAACTGATGGAAAGGATGGTAACATTGAGTCCTTAAAGGAGGAGGTAGTGGCAGGCAGAAGCAAAACAAATGGGGCTAGAATGGGAGAGTAAATTAAGATTAACCTGCATTAACAAAGAGGATCCCAAATGCAGGTGCTTAAAAAGAGGACTCACAGTACAGTGGGTTCTTTCCCTTTCACGGAACAATCCCGAAGTGAGTAAACCGTGTTGGAGGTGTTCTCTGCTCCATGCGATCATTTGGGGATGCAGGCTTTTTTCTCTCTTCTTGTGCTGTTACCTCCTAGTGCATTGTCTTCATCTGTGTGGTTGAAACTGCCATAGCCATGCTCACATCCAAGGTGGGATGAGGAGGAGCATGGAGGGCTATTCCCAAGGTTTAGAGTTCACACAGGAAGCACACATGCTTCCTCTCATATTCCACAGGTCAGAGCTGAGTGGTAACCTCACCCCCAGCTTCAAGGGAGGCTGAGAAGTCTTCTCTAACTGGGAAGCCATGTCCAGCTACAACTGCACTGCAATGAGACAGCAGGTTTTTGGTGGACAGCTAGCAATCTTCCTGCAAAAAGACTTGCAGAAAGACCAAAAAGAGATGCAAGCAAGCCATTTGTTGATGTGATGGTGACTGTTCTAAGATAAATTTTATCTAGAAACTCAAATTATAAGCAAAAACTACAAAAATATTAGCATTCTTCTAGAAAATGACCTTTTAAAAATTAAAACATTAGAAATTCCACTAACATTCTTAACTTATATCAAAGAGAAATTTCACCAGACACTTTTTAAAAATGGTGAGGAAGACGTTATTCAATACTATGGCAATAGAAGTCAAACTGTTGTAATAGAGGAGAGAGATTGAACCCAACTCTGAATTCGAGGACCGGACAGCGGAGGACTCAGAGCCAATGGTCAGGGTGAAGGGGGTCAGTGGACGGAAGTTTACTAAGAGGAACTTGGTTAGATATCAAGGGTGAGTGGATGGGAAACTTAATTGGAGGTCAAGGGTGGGAGATTTTTCCATAAACTGACTTAGCAGGATATAAGTTGCTAAAACTGACAGACCAAGGATGAGGCCTAGTCATGAAGAGGACTCAGAGGAGTCTGATAAAGCTTGGTTAAGTAGGAAGTCCTTGTCAACTGTTATTATGATTTAAAATGAGTTAACTCTTAGATTATGTCATTTTGCTACTAATCATTTTGGAGAGCATAGAAAGACAGAAATAGTGTAAATAGACACAAACTTTACATAAATATTTATATCGTAGAGAGAGGTAAAGAACAATGAATATTTGTAGTCAACAGAAGCTACCTCATTTCACTTTTCTCCTTTATACAGTCTGTGTGTGGGGTTGTGACAAGGCATGCTAAAGGAATTCTTAAGATTCCTTCTACCTCTATAGTTCTCTTGGTTAAGTTAGATAGTAAAGTTAGGTGATAGAACGTTTTAAATTTTATTTAATAAAGCTATATAGGATTACTGTTTTCAGATCAGTTTATAAGCAACAAGTTTTTAAAAATCACAATCTCAGTTCAATGATATCTTGAAGTGCTTAGCTTTGTAAATAAATATAATTTCTTTGTAGTTTTCAAATATGAAGTCCAACTAAGTAGTCAGTGAAAAAACTTGTATTTTGAAGCAGTGCAATACATGTTTGTTATTTATTTTCTTATAGCTTTATCATCCTAACGTTGTACGTTATTACAAAACATTTCTGGAAAGTAAGTATGAGTTTTCATGATATTTCTAAATAAGGAAACATTTTTGTCACATATATTTTTATATTAGAATGTCGCAAAAGAAACCTTATCAACTATTTTATTGACCTTTTTTTGTTAATATGACAGTAGATGATCTTAAGCATCACTTTCTTGACTAGCGAAACAGTGACCTAGTCAGTGACCTGAAGATAGTTATAAAATACTTAGCTCCCTGTGTGAAAAACACATGAACAAATGAAAATAGTTATTGCTGTTCTCATATACAAAAAAATCACTTAATAGGATCAAGAAAAAAGAAAACTAATGGATGGTGGTTTCCTTAAGAAAAGAAAAGAAAAGGAAGTTGCTTTTGTTGACGCCGGTGTCATTTTCCATCCCCAAAATAAGTTGGAGAGAGCTAGGTCTTTGAGATTTCTTTTACCTGAAGTTCAGGTAAATGCCACAAGGTGGCGATGGAGCCCAGACTGATTCTGCAGGTAGGCAGGCTTGCTTTCTGCAGGTATGATGGAATGCTGAACTAGAACCAAAACACAGATAAAGCTAAACTCAGCCACTTTGTTTGTTTGTTTGTTTTAAATAGGACCCATAACAGAAATGATACAAGTATTGATAAGCTTTAATGATATGTGTCACGTATGAAATGTCAAAATAAATCTCCACTTGAAGAATGATTTAAAGAGATACAAGGCAATGACTGGGGCTTCCGAACTACCTCTTTATCAGTGCTATTGCTATTTAAGAAAACCTTTTGTGTGTGTACATTGGCATTTGGGACAGCCGGGAGATGGGAGATTTTACCCATCTCCCTTCCCCTAGATGACTCAGAAAAACTCAGTGCTAAAACTCGTGCAGTAAATCCTGTCCCCTTAGCCATTTGTTCTTGATGTTAAAATAATTTTCTATAATTTAGTGCATATCCCTTCAAAAAAGGTTGGCTTCTGACTTGTACTGAAGTGACGTAACTTGTCTTAATATAAAAAACAAAAACGTTTTTTACTACCTGACAGCTTCCAAAAAGAACTGGAAATGGCTGCCGGGCGCAGTGGCTCATGCCTATAATCCTAGCACTTTGGGAGGCTGAAGCGGGTGAATCACTTGAGGTCAGGGGTTTGAAACCAGCCTGGCCAATACGGTGAAACCCCGTCTCTATTAAAAATACAAAAAAAAAAAAAAAAAAAAAAAAAAAAGGCTGGGTGTGGTGGTAAGCGCCTGTAATCCCAGCTACTTGGAAGGCCGAGGCAGGAGAATTGCTTGAACCCGGGAGGCAGAGGTTGCATTGGGCCAGATCTCGCCACTGCACTTCAGCTTTGCAACAGAGCAAGACTCCGCCTCAAAAAGAAAAAAATAAAAATAAAAATAAAAAAGAAGAAGAATTGGAAATGGCTTAAAAATAAATAAAATATGATATAATAGATTAGGAAATTGCAATAAAGAGGAATGAAGGATGAGAAAGTTAAAAATAAAGCTAGAAGTAGTATTGGTACATAAATGAATATTTCTTGAAATTATGAAAAATTGGAAGCAATATAAATGTCTATCTGTAGGAGAGTGATTAAATAGATTATGGTATCCCCGTATTGTGCAATACCATACAACCAGCAGAAAGAATGGTATGGATCTGTGTGCACTGAAATATAAGGCCGCTTAATGAAAAAAACATAAATTGCAGAACATGTATGATTCCATTTTTGTGAACATTTTCTACACACATATTTTGTATACATGCCAAAGTTTCAAAAGACACATATCACATCCCATTGTTAGTAAACCCTATTGGTTTTAGAGGAGGAAGTAGAATTTACTCCTTTGTTTCTTGGCATCCAAAGCAAAAAGACAAATACAGTCAGTCATGAAGTTCTCCGTATCCATAAGATAAAACCTGGAGAGGTCCATTTTTTTTTCTTTTGCTTTTGAAAGGCATAACAGAAATTCCTATCATGTGTATTATTTTCAACTGTGTCATTGCAAGACCATGGCATTATTCCGGTGTAAAATTCTGTAAGGTAAATCTTTCAGACTATGAACCAATACTGTTGAAAATGCAATTTTCTGAATGTCTTGCCTTGATCTGAGGGTAAATTTTAGACTGTTGGGAGGAAGGATGGGCTTACAGGTTCTTCAGGGAATCCTCCATGACTGGAGGTCATTTGCTTGTTCTCTGTGGCACCTTTCAATCATTCCACATCCTGGCATACGTAGAAAATGATAATATTTGCCAGTGTAAACTTATGCTAAGGGGTTGCCTGTAGCCAGAAGATACTGTTGCTGGGCCCCCATTTCCCTAAGACCCTCCCCACCTCTTCCAGGGCTGAGTGGATCCATATTTAACACGTCATCCCTAATTCTTTAGTGTTAGTGTCCCGCACAGACATTGGGAAGCTTGAACTCTCATTTGTAAAGTTTTTCAAAATATCTGTATTGAGTTTAAATTTCTATGACCTTTTGTGATATTTATATAGATGATAGGTTGTACATAGTTATGGAGCTTATAGAAGGAGCCCCGCTTGGAGAGCATTTCAGTTCTTTGAAGGAAAAACATCACCATTTTACTGAAGACAGACTATGGAAAATATTTATACAGGTATGTTTTTATCTTCATTAAATTTTTCTTGAAACAGTAAAATTCTGAGCTGGCTTCTTAAAGACATGTGCAGTAGTCATCATTGGCTATATGTATGCTGGGGGAAATAAAATTTGTTTTCTATTCATTGTTTCAAGCTGTGCTTAGCTCTTCGATACTTACACAAGGAGAAGAGGATTGTCCATAGAGATCTGACACCAAACAACATTATGTTGGGGGATAAGGACAAAGTAACAGTTAGTAAGTATAAAGATTTTAAACCTTTTAACTAAAGAATCCCTGAATACTATTCTAGAGCAGTAGTGTCCAATAGAACTTTTGGCACTCATGGGAATGTTCTTTGTCTGTGCTGTCCAGTACCGTAGCCACTAGCCACATGTGGCTATTGAGCACTTGAAATGTGATGAATGTGACTGAGGAAATACATCTTAAATTTTAATTAATTGTTTTTTGTTTTGTTTTGTTTTGTTTTGTTTGAGACAGAGTCTTGCTCTGTCACCCAGGCTGGAGTGCAGTGGTACTATTTCAGCTCACTGCACCTTCCACTTCCTGGGTTTCCAGTGATTCTTGTGCCTCAGCATCCCGAGTAGCTGGGATTATGGGCACCCGCCACCAAGCCCACCTAATTTTTGTATTTTTAGTAGAGACAGGGTTTCACCATGTTGGCCAGGCTGGTCTCGAACTCCTGGCCTTGTGTGATCCACCCGCCTCGTCCTCCCAAAGTGCTGGGATTGCAGGCGTGAGCCCCCATGCCCGACCACATTTTATGAATTTTCATTTAGACATCCCTATGTGATGAATGGCTACCATGTTGGACACTGACTAGTGTAGTTCTAAATGAGCTGTATTTTGCTCATATGAGAGAATGAACTACTCTTAGAATACATAAGTATTTAATTCCAAAATCAATGGTTTTCAGGTTTTTTCTTACTGCAGAACACTGCCTCATCAACAAAAGCTTTTATGACCACCATATGAGTGCATTGTTTTGAACCATTTTACCATAGTCTGTGCCTTATGAGTGACAGAGGTACATATGGAGGGCTGTAAAACCTCTAGCCATTTATATATTTCAACATAGAGTTTTTGTTACAATTTGTTTCATCTGTAGGAGGTAGGCCTGATGTTGGATAAAATTTTGCAAATGAGAAGGTTTATTTTCTCCTCCCAATTGTTAAAGTATTAATCATAACTTAAAATTAAGTTTTTTAACTTAGGATGACATATTGGCTTTCTCCTGCCTGCCTCATGAACGCTTGTGTTACCCTCATGGACTTTAATGGTTCACTAACTACAATTAGGGAGACACCTTCCTAAACCAGCAGTCTCCAAATATTTTTCATCATAACATCCCAGCAGTAAAAATTTTTTAAGAATACACTGCCAATATACATAGGCTTATTTATAAATTCTATACGTGTATATTACTGAGCAAAGATTCTGTAGTAAATAACAAAGTCTATAGAAATAAAACATAAAGGGATACATTTAAAAATAACAATAGAGGTCTTAATACTGTTGCTGCCCTCCACCCCATTGCGTTGCCTTAGAAACTCAGTGCTGGAGACTACTGCCATCAATGTTATTGATATGGAGACATCATCGATGTCATATGACAACATACGACAGCATCTAAAGCTGAGTCCCTTAGTTTTAGAATTTTAGTACTCATGAAGGCAATTCCAAATGTACACATTTGCTATAACAACATGTGTTCAGGAATGATAAAGTTTACCATCCAGATTTTTATAAGTAGAACATCATCTTAATATATTAATATTAATATATTTGTATATTAATATATTTGTTGAAAAATAAAAAACAACCCTACAACAGAAACTCTAGATAACCTTCAATACAGAGCTACCTGGGAATATTTCCAAGCCAATGCATTGTGAAATTAAAAAAGGGACAAAATAACTTGAATCTTTATCTTGGACACACATTTGCTTAATCATTTGAAATTAATTATAACTTTGTTTACCTTAAGCTTTTTATGTTTTCTCTTTTTATAAATTGAACTTATATTTCCTGAAAATTTTTTACAATTTATTTATATGCTGGTATGTCAATTTACAGGTTAATAAGGATTATAATAAATTATGTTTTAATTTTATAACAAATAGTATATATATACGTATATAACACAGTTATGTATATATACAACAGAGCAAACATGTTTAATCCTCCTTAAATGGCTGTTCAGGCCATATTTTCTGAGTAATAGCCAACTCTGCATTTTATTTTCTTACGAAGATTAGCTGTAATCATTTCCTTTCATTACATTTAAATGTACTAAGCTTAATCTTTTATTGCAGTAGCCTGGTTTATTTTTTTCTAAACATATATTTGCTTTCTTTAATCATTATCACACATCAAAACAGTTTACAAAATAAAAAGCTTATAGAGAAAAACAGTTTCATGCCCCACCCCTTTGAAACCCTTAGTTCTCTTTGCACAAAACAGCTACTTCTCCACTTTTTATTCTTTTTCTTATATGGTATTTGATTTTCTATTGTAATGGGTGAGAATTTAGTTTTCTTTCTTCTTCTTCCCCATCTACCATCCTGTCAGTACAGTTATAACAGAATTTTATGTTAAGTCAATATTCAATGTTCACATTATTATCACTGTGTAATTATTGTTAGATGTTGATTACTTATCCTTTCTCATAGATCGTTTTGTTTTTCTTAGAGTTAATGATTGCCTTTTTTGTTTGTGTTCCTAGTTTTCTTTGTACCTATTTTTTTATTTTTCTCCAAATCTTCCAGAAGAATTGTAAAGCCCTCTCAGTACTATTTCCACATGGTCAAACCTGGCAAGTACTCCCACTTTTGTTTTCCTGGACTCCTTGTTCCTGCAGCTGCTTGTTGCAGTGTACTCTGGGTTTCACTTTAGGCCTGCTGCACAGCCATTGTCATGGAACTATTGTTTATTGATCTTCCAGTTGTAGACTCTGTTTCTTATGTTCTGTGTCTTTTTCTTTGTAAACTCCCCTGCTCTGCTGAAGCATGTCTTCTGGTACTTTTCTAAGAAAGAGTGCTTTGGGCGTTATGTTTTTGGATGTTCACTTGCTACAAATATTTTTATGGGACCCTCTTATTGGACTGGTAGTTTGGCTTGGTGTATATATTCTCAGAGGAAAGTCCTTGTTCTCTCAAGTTTTAATGGCATTTCTCCAGTCTTCTAGTATCTAGTTTTGCTGTCAGGAAATCCAGTGTTCTTCTGATGCCTATTTCTTGATACATGAAGTATTTTATCACTCTGGAAAATTTCAGAATGTTCCCTTTATCCACTGCTTTGGATGAGTCTTTAAAATCCAATGTGTCTGTAGTTAGGTGTGCTCTTCAATCTGGAGACTTAAAATTTAAGTCCTGGGAAGTTTCCTTGCATTATTTCTTCACTACTCTTCTCCCCTCTGCTCTCTCTGCTTTGATTTTTAGAGTTCTTTTTAGTCTTAGATACCATATGTACAAAATGGTCTCCTAATTTTAAAAATAATTATCTTAGTTCTTTACTGTTTGTCTCTTTGTTGTAATTGAGTTATTTCTTCAACTTTCTTTCCCATTCCATTGCATATTAAATTTATATTATCATATTTTAATTTCAAAAAATGTTATCTTATTTTGTGTTTTATTTTTATGGAACCCTGTTTTTGTTCTTTCTCAGGGTAATATAGACTTTTTTTTCTTCAGCATCCTGAATTGTTTCTGTATCTTCTGAAGGTGTGTGTGTGTATATATATATATGTGTGTGCGTGTGTGTATACGCATATACACACACACACACAGCATACATACATATACATACATATATAACACTAAGCAGGAGTATATATACACATTTTATTCCTGCTTAGTCTTATCTCTCTTTCTGGCTGGGGGCTTTTCTCAACTGTCTTGTGACCCCGTGCTGGTCTTTAATAATTCTGAGGAAGTCATGAAAAAAGCTGTTGGAAGCACTGTGAGTTCCAGTTGAGGCTGTCATCTGGTGCCCTTCCTTATAGTAAAATGGAAATTTTCCTTTGAAGACTCCAAAATCAGTATCTAAACTTTTATTTTTCTGGAGAAAACTATTTGAGTATCTTGCCTGGGGGTACGTGCACCTGTTTGCTGGCATTCTGGGAGCAGCATCAACAAACAGGACTCAGGGAACCACATTTAGTTTATAGATTTTTGTTGAATTCTACTCTGCTTGGTTCCTTGCTGGTTTATTTCTTTGAAAAATGAATATTTTCTGTTAGTGGCAGAGGGTGCTTGATTTACTGGCTGTGTGTATGTGGGAGGGCACCTGGAAACTTTTTCTCAATTCTATGTATTGAGCTTTCTGCTTCTCTTCTCCCTTGGATGGCACCCTGGGCTCTTCAGGGTAAATGGGCTCCCCTCAGCCTTCCTCCTCAGACACATGGGTGGCACTTTTGCTCTGCTGAGTCTGACACCATCTTCTATCTACTTTCCATCTGCCACACATTTATTGGAATATCTCATCCTCTGTTGTTGCCAAGCCCATTCTCATTGTTCCTGTGGGTTAGTAACATTCCAAAGAATATCCCCTCTCCCAGCTTTTTCTTTTTTTTCCATTTTAGTAGGGTTTGAGATTTAGAGGAGATAAAAGCATATGGTCAATTTACCTTGTAACCCAAAATGGGCAGGGTAGTTATATTCTAAGTTTACACATTTGACTTAAAACATCCCATTTTCATGTTGACTCACTAATAAATATATTTATTTCTACTTACATTCAAGTCATATAGGACTCCCTAGAAGAAGTTACTTTGTTTTACAAAAATAAGCAAACCTTTGTTTTGTCCTTCCCTGTCCTGCCCCTCAGTGTTATTTTACTCAATCTTATTAATATTTATCAGAGTCCTACTTAGGAGTTATACAATTAAAGAATTACTTCCATTTTTTTTTTTTTTTTTGAGATGGAGTCTTACTCTGTCGCCAGGCTACAGTGCAGTGGCACGATCTCGGCTCACTGCAACCTCTGCCTCCTGGGTTCAAGCGATTCTCCTGCCTCAACCTCCCGAGAAGCTGGGACTACAGGCGCATGCCACCATGCCCAGTCAATTTTTGTATTTTAGTAGAGACGGGGTTTCACCATGTTGGCCAGGATGGTCTAGATCTCTTGACCTTGTGATCCGCCCTCCTCGGCCTCCCAAAGTGCTGGGATAATAGGCACGAGCCACCATACCCTGCCTACTTCCAGATTTTAAGACCATTTAGCTTTAAGTGAAGCAG